ATACATCTTTAATGATCTATAACAAGTAAATAAAACTGTACTAACAAACTAATGTTCTCCGACTCACCTGACACAGGTCTGCGTGCACTGAAGTAAGCTGATTTGTGTTCATCTGCATCTTGTCTATGGCCTGTTTAAGTATACTTATTCCACGCAAGGGCTGTGAAGATCAAGACAACTTAACATCACTCTTGTGCAGGTGAAACTGGAAAAATTAGAGTATCATCATGCAAAAGTTCATTTATTCCAGTAATTCAACTTAAAAGATGAAACTAATATATTATATAGACTCATTACATGCAAAGTGAAATATTTCAAGCCTTTATTTGTTATAATTTTAACGAATCTACAGCTTATGAAAACCCCAAATTCATTTTCATACGCTGTAAACGATAATTATCAGAATTATAACAAATAAAGGCTTGAAATATTTCACTTTGCATGTAATGAGTCTATAGTTTCACCTTGAATTACTGGAATAAATGAACTTTTGCACATAAGTATAATCGATAAAAACTCTACAATGACTGAAAGACACTTGCCTGTTTTCTTTCTACAAGGGCATTTGTCAACTGATGGCACAGACCAGCGACTGAAAACGGAGGATAAACAAACTTTAAAAGAGGAGGAATACAAATGTAACAGTGTGATGAAAAAAAGAAGTGTTTCCGTACACGTGTCTGTGGCGTATCGGATGTGCTCTCCGTTGCAGGTGCTGATGAAGAGTTGGACTTGGGAAAACAAGGTCTCGAAATCAGGGATGTTTGGCATGGAAAACTTCACAAACCTGTAAAACAGTAACTCTTTCAGATGGACACACATCATGAACTCTCGGTGCTCATGGGACTCAACCAGTCACGGACTTACAGAACAGCCAGGACACCGAGCGAGTGCTCTTGGATGTCCAGCGCCCCGAGAACAGTGTCCAGATGGGAGAGGTTCTTGGCCAGAAGCTCCCCGCTTTTATTGATCAGCTCACATAGTTGAGTCATCTGACCTGAGAAGCATAAGAAGCATTAGTATGCATGAAAACATGATTTTCTATTAGTGATGTTATTCTAAAGTAAATGCACATGCGATCAAGGTCTAATTTTTTGTTTGTTATATGATGAACAGTTACGTCGAGAAACATTGATGAGAAACATCAAATCTATTATTTTTGATTCTTAATACATCCAACACATCAATTATCTTTTTCAGTGACGGATGTTATCACTTTAAACTTGTTTTTATATTATATTTAAATCAGTGGAAAACAGTCTGCCATTTGGTACAGTTGACATGTATTTTGCTGTGTATATGAATTTTAATTATATTATCCATCTCCAATTAACCAGTATCACATTCCATAAAGATGACCGTAGTCTCGGATAATGTAACAATCTTAAAAAAAAAAAATATATATATATATATATATATATATATATATATGAAGAGTTCAGATGCAAAAGCCTCTAAGTGCCATTTGAAATTTTCTTCTAGAATGATCATTTTTATCAAGCTTGTATATTTAAGTTCAGTGGTTTCACTTAAATGGCAATGATAATTACCTATTAATTGTTATTTAAGTGAAATTACTGAACTTAAATACACAAGTTTGATAAAAATCATCATTAAAGAAGAAAATTTCAAATGGCATTTAGAGGCTTTTGCATCTGAACTCTTCATATATATATATATATAATGACCTAAGTAACGTTACTATTGAACATATCACTCCTCTTTACAGAAATAACAAACGATGTTAATTTTTTTTTAATCCATGATGTCAATGCAACTAATAGTAAGACACGGACGAGAAGTTATTACAGGTTTACTGTAATTCTTATAAAGGTATTTTATGACATATTTTATAAATGACTCCGCTAACATCGACACATCCAGTAATTTCACTAATATAAAAGCTTAGCGGTTACGAAGTGGAAATATTCGGCAGTTTTAAGTTTTTTTTATTAGTAGAAGAACGAACAGAGTAAGATAAACAAATACCATGTGTTACTGCCTGCAGTATAAACAGCTAACATGCTATCATGCTAACTAGTTTTAGCATTGAGCTAGTTAGCCCATGGATTCGTTACTCTGAGTGTTCACGAGCGGTGTAAATGTCCGTACCTTGAGCGGAAAGTTGCCGCACATTATTCACGAACTGCTCCAGAGCTGAAGCCATCGTTTTTGCGCTTTTGAGAGGATGTTTTGCATTCAAATGTCAGAAGCAGCTTTCCAGTACAGAAGGGACGGGCCCTCCGCCGCCAACAGTAAACAACAAATATCGCGAGGTTTGAGTGACAGCTCCGATTCAACGAGATTTCACTCTCACTGGAAAGCAAACTCCGTAGAAGAGATCCTTTTTGAGGTCACTTCACAAACAGTACCTATTATTTATTTAGAACTACATGTTTAATTTACAAATCACAGGATTTAGCCTTTGAAAATGGACATGTATCTTTAAGGAATGAAAGGAAAATGTCATTATTACTTCCGGTACAAAACAACAAAGACTCTCTGAATGGAGAGATGGTCATTTTCTCACTTTGCGAGCAAAAGAAGGCAGGATTGATAGTTGAATTAAGACTTAACTAACTGTCGGGGTGAATAGTTTAGATTAAGATCTATTTTAAAATGAAATGTATTATAGGTTAAAGTGCTGATCTTTATATTTTTCATTATTTTAGAGAACATTTTTAAAGAAATAGTTAAGAAAATAATGATTTGCTTTGCTTGTGAGCTTACTGAGAAGAGTTTAATTTGGTAATATAGCGTTGGATATGTGACATAATTTAAAATATATTAATTGTTGTAGTACATATTTAGGGTCATATGCAAATGTGGTATCATTTTCTATTTGTTTTAAAAGAGTGCACAAGGTCTGTCTGCCAGTATTTTTCCCATAGCGATTTTTAAGTATTTGTTATAGAATAATCAAACCAACTTGATATGAGGAGAATCACTATATTAAAAACAAATATGATTTGAGCCAAAAAAAAGTTTATTTCAAAATATACAAATATGTAAGCAGTTTCAGTGCTTAACACGCGACTTGATTGTTAATTCCCAGAACTGTGAAGTTTTTCTTCTCTTGCTGAATAACGGCTGAACATTACTGAATAATGTAGTTTTTCAGTCGTAATTCCACCGTTAAACATTATTATTTAATAAAGTTTGTATAATGGTTACATGGAGAAAATTAATAGTTTTTGTACTTCCGGAAACTGACTGTCGAATCGCTTTGAGAGTCCGACTCATAGATCTTTCTTTATACATAGAAACTATATTCGCCAACTCCAGTCACGTCGGTGCGTCCGCCATCTTGGAACGGTCAGTTTTTCGTTATTCACAAAAATAATTGATGATAATGAATCAAAAGATTGAATCAATGACAAAGAATAATGATGCCACTTTTGGTTGTGAAACAGCCCAGATTTAAACTCCATACGAAATGTGATAATAACCTCTCAAGGGTGGGAAGTGTTTAGGTGGGAAGTGTTTATTCTTAGCAGATCCCTTCGTCTAGTTTAATTGTCTTAGTTTGGCAAAATAATCTGCTGAAGTCTATTACAGGTAGAGAATAGAGATATCCATATATGCGATGCGTCTAACTAACTACGGTTGATTATGCTCAGTCAACTCAATATTATGAAGCTGCAGACTCGGAGCCTGCATCTACAGTCCCCCACCGAGAGTCCCGCATTCTCTGACCCCTCTTTTTTCGAACACAGCGCCTCCTGCTGTTCAAAAGATCGAATAATACCCGCACACAGAGTACAGTGCACGATTATCCAAATGCAATTAAAAACAATAGGATGCAATATTACGGTCTCCAAATAAATTATCCAATAAATATTTGCGTTTCCTGCTTAATGCATGATTGTGCCAAAAAAAACTAATTGTTAGGCTACTGATGGAAGGGATACAATTACAGATAAAAATAGTAGGCTATTATATTGCTACAATGTTTTATATATATATATATATATATATTTTTTTTTTATTCAAATTCCAATTTTTCTTTCAGTACCAGCTAACATTACAATATCTGTTTTTTATATATATTTTGAATGCGAAGCAAAACAAATCAGAATAGACAAAACACCAATAATAAACAATTACTTTATTTAATGATCACCTAAACATCATCTTGCTGTAAAGAAAAAATGAAGAAAAAACTGTGTTCTTGACTTTACTTTTTGCCTTCAATTGCATTAAAAAAAACCTCATTTATAAGTCGCTTTGCATAATCATAAAATGACATGTTGCTGGATTCGGCAGGGACAACTCCATCGATGTATGGTGTGGAATAGCTTACAACATAGTACCGATAGCACATGTCTTATGATGTTTAAAAAAGAAAAAGAAAAAAAGAAAAAGATGTTTGCAAATGTTAGTTACCATGTTCTGTTGATATCCCTTGAGATGTTTTTGAACTTTGGACAACTTTGTGGGTTTGAAATATACTGCTCAAAAAAATAAAGGGAACAATTAAACAACACTTAAGTAAAAACAAGAAAAAAGTAGGCCTATTAAGATTATTTCATTCATTCAGATCTATGATGTGTTATTTTAGTGTTCCCTTTATTTTTTGGAGCAGTGCACAGAATGGGCAGAGAAAATAACTGCAGCATAATGACATTTCTACAAAAAGTCCAAGGTAAAAGGCTAACGTAAACGTAAGCTATCTAAATATTTTCGGGGGGAAGAGGGCGAAAAAAAACATACATTAACGGCTCAAATCTTGTTACAAACCATCTTTACCAATATTAAATGGACTATTCATATGTTGTATCGATGAGCTAAATTAGTTTTATTAATCAAACGAGTAGGCTACTACGATTCGCTAAATAAAATTGAAGATAGCCTAGCCTACTCACGTTTTGGCTTAAGTTCTTCACATGTTCTTCACATGTTTATCCGATACAAATTGATAGGAGGCGCTGTCTCGAAAAACGAGGGGTCTGCAGGGGGACAGTCAACTATGCTCTCTAGTCTAGTATTCGTTCCAATATGGCGGACGGCGTACACACACACACACACTTAGCCGCTAGTGAGGTTTCTATGTTTGTAATCTACGGTCTAACGGATACACGAGAATCCTAAACAAGTGTGCGATCTCTCTTTTCACAAATAACCTCGGGTTGTTGTTCATTGGCAGTGTACAGCAACAATAGCCACTAGTTTTCGGCATGATTTGAGAATGTAAACAGAGTGTTCAGATTAAAAACACACACACTACTGTATCAATAATTTCGCCAACACTCCGCGTTTGACTTTAGCTGGCGTTTGCTCTGCTGTAAACAAATGCAGATTCGGGAGGTCACCACTGCAATTCAACTCCAGCGACCGCTGGAAAAACATGAGACCCTCTGACCCCCACAGAAACTAACAAAAGAGTCGCACAAACGCGTTTAGAAAGTGCAAAACAATAGAGTCAACAGAATGAGATGCGCTAGCCATCAGCATCACTAGCATAAGGGTTAATGAACACTGTCAAGTGATTAACGTTGGATTTGGACGGTTATTATGATGAGTTTATTGCCGAGGATCGTACGGTGGCTCGAGAGGAGCTCTTCATCGTTGCACTTTCACTATCAAAGCAGAGTAAACATGTGTACGAACAACAGAAGACTGCGAGTTCTGGTGGACATGGACGGGGTCATCGCCGACTTCGAGGGAGGATTTCTGAAGAAGTTCAAGGAGAGGTTTCCCAACGAGCCTTTTATATCGTTAGAGGACAGAAGAGGATTCTGGGTGTCCTCACAGTATGGAGACTTGAGGAGTGACCTGTGTGTGAGTGTGTGTGCGACTTATGAAATAATAGTCGGTTCGGTGAAATGGAACGGTTACTACTATAACGTTATATATATTTCTTAAACATAAAAAGGTTCGCACATGTGTTTTATGTTTCATATTAATGGCTCATATAGTATGATATTGTGAGAATATGGAGGAAAAAACATATTACAAAAATATTTAATTTGCTGCAGATGTTGATATTTATATGGACAAAACGTGACGGAATTCAAATCAATGGGATATTTATGTATAACAGATGTTTATGCATATAAATATCAATATCTGCCAAATGTAAATCAAACAGACACTGACATAAAATGACATAAGATTATATTTGAATTAGGGCTGTTAGACGATTAATCGCATGCAAAATAAAAGTTTGTGTTTGCATAATATATGTGGGTGCACTGTGTATAATTATATTGTATATATAAATACTCACACATGTATATTTAAGAAAAATATTATTTATATATAAATATTTATAATATAAATTATATATAAATCTATATACAGTATATATATGAAGAGTTCAGATGCAAAAGCCTCTAAATGCCATTTGAAATTTTCTTCTAAAATGACCATTTTTATCAAGCTTGTATATTTAAGTTCAGTAATTTCACTTAAAAGACAATTAATAGGTAATCTTCATTGCCGTTTAAGTGAAATTGTTGAACTTAAATATACAAGCTTGATAAAAATGATCATTTTAGAAGAATATTTCAAATGGCTTTTGCATCTGAACTCTTCATATGAAAATATTTCTTAAATATATGCAAGCAAGTTTGTGTATATAATAATTATACACAGTGCACCCCACATATATTATGCAAACACAAACTTTTATTTTGCATGCGATTAATCGTTTGACAGCCCTAATATTTATCTATTTATTCTGGTCATAACTGTAACAAGATGCTGTGTATTTAGTGCACCCACATATATTATGTAAACACAATTAATCGTTTGACAGCCCTAATTTAAAGGCTTAGTTTTATTATCAAAGCTCTGAAGTTTTAAAATATAGGCCTATATAATACAACTGAGAGATGAACAAATAAACCTGATCATCGTATTTCTAACTCATAATTTTTCTAAAAAAAAAAAAAAATGTATGGATAATCAAGTAAACCTGCTTCAGTCCAAGTTATTATGTTTACTTGATAAAAATCAGTGCAGATTTGACAGCAGAAAAACACTGAAGGTTTGTACAGTTATACTAACAGGCTTTTACTAGTTTCTGACGTCACAAACGACCTTGTAACCAATCAGATCAACGTGTGATGTCAAAGGGTGGATCTCTGAGCTGAGGGAGGGAGTGGGGGCGGGGCTTATTTGCATATTCATAGAATCACATATAGTAAATGAGGCAAGGGTGTCGAGTTACATTAAAGATATTTTAAGGCATTTTTTTAAATATGTCATTTTGGTGATCAAAGATGAGTTTTACGTGATAAAATGATTAAGTGACTATTATGGATGTTGTTTGCTCTGATTGCAGAACAAGGCCATCAGCATTTGGGAGTCAAAAAACTTCTTCATGGAACTGGAGCCTCTTCCCGGAGGAGTCGAGGCGCTGAAGGAGATGTCCAAGATGGAGAAGTAAGACTTCAACTAGTTATGTCATTCATTTTATTTGTTGCAATCATGGAAATCAAATACCTAAATCACCCTATTGTAAACCAGCCTCCCTCCAGAAGATCTTGCATAATAGTCAGATAAGCGAAGCTAAACAAGAATCTCCCTTGAGTAAATGTTTGTCTGGATATTACCATCTGACTTACTCTCTCTTTTCTTCCTCCAGTACAGATGTCTTCATTTGCACCAGTCCAATAAAGCATTACAGCTTCTGCCCGTATGAAAAGGTGAGGTTCTCGTAAACTGAGCTTCATTTATACAGTCAAACCCAAATGTATTCAGACACTTTCAACATTTCACTCGCTATAGTTTAGAAATTTGTATACATTTTACACTTTATATCGATATTTTTGGGTATAATATGTCACAGTTAATTTATTTTGCTCTCCTCACTTGGATAAATTAACTATAGTGTCCTGATCACACTAGTAAACAAATGTAAAAAATAATATCTGGTGTCTGAATAATTATTCGTAACATGTATATTCATGTTGGTCAGTGACGTCACAATCATAACATCACAATCTCGTAATATCAGCATATTATGCATATTTACGAGCAAACCCAGATTAATATAACACGATACTTATTTGTGTAAGCATGCATTAAAATAAAGTGACCCATTATTTTTGTTATATCTATTAATTTTCCCGAAATGCTTTTAATACAGTGACTTATTTCAGTGCATTTTTGTTTGTCCACAGTACGCTTGGGTAGAGAAACATCTGGGCCCCGAGTTCCTGGAGCAGATCGTCCTGACCCGAGACAAGACCATCGTGACCGGAGACGTCCTCATAGACGACAAGCCTGATATCCTCGGTGAGTAACAGCGCCGTATATCAGGTGTTTGTGTGTATATCTGAGAAACACATGTGTGTTTTTCCCAAGCTCAAACTTTCCGGTCTCTCTCTTTGAAAACATCTCTGAAGTGAGTTAAACTGCAGTTCATCGACTGGCCACTAGAGGCCGGCTGCAGAAGAGAGTCAATCCCATAGACCCGCATGTTAAAATGCCCAACTTTAAAGCAGAATAAAACATGTTTACAGCCTGGTGGAAAAAGCGGTTTTGGTCTATATTGCTAATTTTGCCCTTCATGACGACTGTGAGAGGAGTGAACTCTTTTATAACTCATCCGTTTAAATTATATTAAGCATTAAAGTTATGCATAATTAAGGGCGTGGCCTGTTGATTGACAGGTGGATTGCCGCTGCTGTCACTACTTGATATTTTTTTGTTTTTTATCCATTTAAAATGAGTAAACTAACAAACTAAAAAAAGACATATATAAAGAAACAGTGACAACAGTTAAACAAAAATGTGCAAATGTTGACAGATTGAAACACACTTTCTAATTTTTCAAACCCAATATTGTGGTATTGTTGAATTTCTGATCTTAGTGTTTTAATGCTGCATGTATATTTTAAATAACCATAACTTGCTCAATTTTCTACCAATTTTCAAAACGGTTTGGTTTAGGGCTGGGCAATGATTAACCGCGATTAATCGCATCCAAAATAAAAGTTTGTGTTTACATAATATATGTGTGTGTAGTGTGTATAATTAATTTGTATATATAAATACCCACACAGATATGTACTTTGTACATATTTAAGAAATATTACATTATTATATTTTATATATATATATTCACAATTAAAATTACATATAAATATAAATATTTGATATATTAATAACACATTTTTCTTAAATATATACATGCATGTGTGGGTATTTATATATACAAATTAGGGCTGTGCAAAAATTAATTGCGATTAAACGCATCCAAAATAAAAGTCTGTGTTTACATAATATATTTGTGTGTGCTGTATATAATTATTTTGTATATATAAATACACACACATGCATGTATATATTTAAGAAAATGTGTTATTCATATATAAAATATTTATATATATATATATACAGAATTTAAGCGCAAATAATTCTTAAATATATACATGCATGCATAGGTATTTATATATACAAAATAATTATATACAGCACACACAAATATATTATGTAAACACAGACTTTTATTTTGGATGCAATTAATTTTTGCACAGCCCTAATACAAATTAATTATACACACATATTAAGTAAACACAAACTTTTATTTTGGATGCGATTAATCGCGATTAATTGTTGCCCATCCCTACGTCAGAGATGTAGTTATGCACTTTATAATAATAATAAGAGTATAAATAAATAATCATCCAGAATTACAGCCATGTCAATAACGTTTTTAAGAAACCAAACCGTTGGTAAATCCGTCAAGATTTCAACGAGATAAGAGTGTTTGTGTTCGTGCTGATCACTCACTTCAGAGCCCGCCAGAAAGCTTGCCTGTGACAAGATGGCCGCCGGTGATGACGATACAGACTCCGCATGTCGTGTTCTCCGTAATCCACGGTTTTCTTACAGTCTGTTTTTGCGTTGAAGGTGTGGAGCCCAATCCGACGTGGGAACACGTTCTCTTTACCGCCTGCCACAACAAACACCTGGAGAACCCTCCGCAGCGCCGGCTCCTGTCCTGGGCCGACGACTGGAGAGCCGTTCTGGCCAGCAAACGCCAGTGAGACACGACATCCCATCATGCTCTCCTTCCACAGGGAATCCAGATCTGATAGAGACAGAGCGACACAATCTCAAAACCACACACACACACACACTCCAACCGTCTCCATTGAGTTTGAATCATACAAAACTAAAAGCTGCTATGTGACAATATGTACAGCAAACAAGCTAAAAAACACGTTTTTATAAGCTGTCGACCCAAAAAACAAGCGTTTAAAGACACAAAATATGTCACATTACTCTGAGATTTAACTTACGCCAACTGGAACAGAAATATAAGATATAAAACTGATATTCGACTTACCTGTGACAATGTTTACTGCACATATTGTGTGTTTTTAGTGCATACTGAATGTCAGGATCCCACAATTTGGTCCTTAAACGCTTGTTTTTTGGATCGACGGTTAAAAAAAACGTGTTTTTTAGCTTGTTTGCTGTACATTTTGTCCCATTGCAGCTTTTAGACATTGTGTTTTTTTTTTTTATAAGCCATAAATGACGAGGAGGCGATTCACACAATGTAAAGTCAATGGAGACGGTTGGAGTGTGTGTCCGGTTTTTACGATTTTGACGCGTGACATCCCATCATGCTCTCCTTCGACAGGGAAGCGAGATCTGAAGGGTATCAGCCCTCATATCCAGTGCATTACATGACAGGGAAACACACTGTGTTTTTTTATGACACACACACCGTTTTTCATGCGAGACTTTTTATTGTTTATATGCATTCATAGAGAGCTCACACACTCATCGTTTACATCAAGCACAAACTGCCTTTCTACAAAGCGGATATCGAATATTGAAACACTTTTACGCTCTCGTCTAACCTCACACGTGGACGATTTTTCACTCAGTACGTTAACATGAATGCATGATTCATTTATTATGAAATATAGTTTTAATTCAGGGAGAGCCACTGTAAAAAGGGATCAGTTGACTTAAACTTAAAATTTAGGAAATCTGTTGTCTTCTCAAATTAGGTAATTTTTTAATTAAGCATTATGTTTATTTACAGGTGCAATATCGTGCAAAAGTTGATTTATTTCAGTAATTCAACTTAAAAGGTGAAACTAATATATTATATAGACTCATTACATGCAAAGTGAGATATTTCAAGCCTTTATTTGTTATAATGTTGATTATTTGTTATAATGTTGATGATTATGGATTACAGATATGAAAACCTTCACAATATTGTCATTTTGTATTTGGGGTTTAAGCCATAATCATCAAAATTATAACAAATAAAGGCTTGAAATATCTCACTTTGCCTGTAATCTATATAATATACTAGTTTCACCTTCTAAATTGAATTACTGAAATAAATGAACTTTTGCACGATACTCAAATTTTTCGAGTTTCACCTGAAAACGGGTTTATTGTTTTGTTTTTTAAGTAAGTGAACTGATCACTTGTACAGTAGGGCACAGTAAGACAGCTTGTGTTGTTTGATGAATGCCAGAGCACTGCATGTGTTTCTCTGGGTATGTGTTGCACTCCCGACACTAGAGGGCGCTACGAGCACATGGATTTATTATAACGCCTGTGAAGGGAAATTCTTTTTTTATTTTTTTTATTTTGGTTAATACTTTTATTAGTTTGGGATGAATCTTTTAATAAACTTTTATGCATTTGAGGATAGGTGTTTGGTTTACGGTTTGGCTTGTGCATTATCTTTGGGTTTCATCATGGATGAGAATGTCCTGTTGAAATGTTTGGGGTCGGTGAGATTCATTAAATTAACTAAATTACCTTACGAAAGATTTCTTTTTAAAAAAATTATTCCAGTTCATCAAAGAATCCAGAATCCTAGTAGCACCTCATTGCAGTACACAAGATCTAGGGGGCGGAGTCGGATCCAGATCTGAGGGGTGGAGCTGGGTAGGTTTAGGGGTGAGGTTAGGGATGAGGGGGTGGAGCTGGGTAGGTTTAGGGGTGGGGTTAGGGATCAGGGGGTGGAGCTGGATAGGTTTTGGGGTGGGGTTAGGGATCGGGGTGGGTTTAGGGATCAGGGGGTGGAGCTGGATTGGTTTAGGGGTGGGGTTAGGGATCAGGGGGTGGAGCTGGATAGGTTTTGGGGTGGGGTTAGGGATCGGGGTGGGTTTAGGGATCAGGGGGTGGAGCTGGATTGGTTTAGGGGTGGGGTTAGGGATCAGGGGGTGGAGCTGGATAGGTTTAGGGGTGGGGTTAGGGATCGGGGTGGGTTTAGGGATCAGGGGTGGAGCTGGGTGGGTTTAGGGGTGGGGTTAGGGATCAGGGGGTGGAGCTGGATAGGTTTTGGGGTGGGGTTAGGGATCGGGGTGGGTTTAGGGATCAGGGGGTGGAGCTGGATTGGTTTAGGGGTGGGGTTAGGGATCAGGGGGTGGAGCTGGATAGGTTTAGGGGTGGGGTTAGGGATCGGGGTGGGTTTAGGGATCAGGGGTGGAGCTGGGTGGGTTTAGGGGTGGGGTTAGGGATCAGAGGGTGGAGCTGGGTAGGTTTAGGGGTGAGGTTAGGGATCAGGGGGTGGAGCTGGGTAGGTTTAGGGTGGGGTTAGGGATCAGGGGTGGAGCTGGATAGGTTTTGGGGTGGGGTTAGGGATCGGGGTGGGTTTAGGGATCAGGGGGTGGAGCTGGATTGGTTTAGGGGTGGGGTTAGGGATCAGGGGGTGGAGCTGGATAGGTTTAGGGGTGGGGTTAGGGATCGGGGTGGGTTTAGGGATCAGGGGTGGAGCTGGGTGGGTTTAGGGGTGGGGTTAGGGATCAGGGGGTGGAGCTGGATAGGTTTTGGGGTGGGGTTAGGGATCGGGGTGGGTTTAGGGATCAGGGGGTGGAGCTGGATTGGTTTAGGGGTGGGGTTAGGGATCAGGGGGTGGAGCTGGATAGGTTTAGGGGTGGGGTTAGGGATCGGGGTGGGTTTAGGGATCAGGGGTGGAGCTGGGTGGGTTTAGGGGTGGGGTTAGGGATCAGAGGGTGGAGCTGGGTAGGTTTAGGGGTGGGGTTAGGGATCAGGGGGTGGAGCTGGATAGGTTTAGGGGTGGGGTTAGGGATCAGAGGGTGGAGCTGGGTAGGTTTAGGGGTGGGGTTAGGGATCAGGGGGTGGAGCTGGATAGGTTTAGGGGTGGGGTTAGGGATCGGGGGTGGAGCTGGGTGGGTTTAAGGCCAATTTATACTTCTGCGTCGAGGGTACGCCGTAGTGCACGGCGTTGGCTACGCACGTAGGCGACGCCGTTGTGAGCATTTATACTTCTGCGTTCAGGTCTTGGTTGCTCTGCAGTACTGCTCCGAAACGCTAGTTGGCGGCGGAGGGTTTTAATGTTCCACTGTGTTTAGATTCCTCACGGCTAGGTTACTACAAGCAATATCGACTGAAAGAGAGTGGATCATGTTGGAGTTGGAGCTTATTGAGGTGGAAAAACAGTTCACTTTAGTGAAATTACTAAAACTGAAAGGCAGAAATGACAGAAGACGTCGGAGGAGATGGTACGTGTGGAAATCATAGACAGTGGTGGAAATGCGTGAGAAGGTACGTGCGGAAATGCGTAGGAGGAAATGCGATGCTACCAAGCCGACCAATCACCGATCTTGCGGTCCGCGTCGCCGCGACGTGTAGTTACATTTTTGAAGAGGTGCGCGTCAGGCGACGGCGAAGGGTACGCGGTATGGGACGCGTCTGTGCGTATGCTACGCCGTCCCTACTGCGCGCACCCTACGCAGAAGTATAAATTGGCCTTTAGGTGTAAGCAAGGTGGGAGGAGTTGGATCTGGATCCGACTCCTCCCTGTGGATTTCATGTTCTGCAGTGAGGACCGTGTCAAGAATCCTGCAAGAATGAAATATATCACGGTTTCACCAAGTTTTCGTGTTTCCTCAGCATCAAATCATCATAATAGAGTGATTTCTGAAGGATCATGTGACACTGAAGACTGGGGTAATGCTGTTAAACCACATTTGACAATATATTCACATAGAAAATAGAAATAGTCCCAATTTCTGATTATTATCAATGCTGAAAACAGTCGCTTTTTATGGAAACGGAAATCTTTAGTAAACTTAAAAATGCCACTTTTGATCAATTAAATGCGTCCTTGCTGAATAAAAATCCTAAAACAATCTGACCCCAAACATTTGCACAGATTAAATATATTTGCAGATGTGTGAGACCAACATGTCTAAAACACTAATGTCTCAATCACAATGACTAAGATTTTAATACAGGTTTATCATTTGTTGACTAGAACAAACAAACGAAACATAATCTTCAAGATGACATTTCAGAGTACTACCAGAAAACATGTTTAAAGTTCACTCAGGTAGAACAAGGTTAGAGAAAGAAACTCATTTTATAGTCGTTTTATAAGCTATACCTTTTAACATTACAATATGGCAGATATGGTTAAATAATTGGTAACACTTTACAATAAGGTTTCATTCGTTAACATGAACTAATAACAAACTGCCCTTCTACAGCATTTGTTAATGTTATTTTCAACATTTACTAATACATTATTAAAATCAAAAGTACAATATTTGTTAATTTTTATCAATGCACTGTGACATGAATGAAACTCGCAAAATTTGAATATTGTGCAAAAGTTCATTTATTTCAGTAATTCAAGGTAAAAATAATATATTATAGGGTTAGGGTAATAATTTTCATGATTATGCAGCTTATGAAAACCCCTATGGTTTTCATATCTGTAAGCCATAATCATGAAAATTATAACAAATAAAGGCTTAAAATATCTCACTTTGCATGTAATGAGTCCATATAATATATTAGTTTCACGTTTTATGTTGAATTAAATGAACTTTTGCACTTTTTTCAGTTTCACTTGTATTTTTAGTAACTAACATTTAATAAAGATTAACATAAACATGTTAGTTAATACATAAACTAATGAAACCTTATTGTGAAGTGTTACCAAGTAAGTAAATGTGCAGAATTTGACCTGAAAACACATAAACAAACCGATACTCTCTAGTACTTTTTTGCCATTAGCCAGTTTGCAGGGTGTTGCATCAAAGGTCAAAGGTTAGCGGGTTCACGCGACGGTCGTGAGAGAGAGCGCTTCCGTTCTTAGCTGATGTTTGACCAACACCGGTGATGCATTACATGTTTTGTCTGCGCATCCTTTTGTCCTCAAAGTATTATTTTTTTAATTTTTGTTGTGCTTTGTGCCATGTCATTTAGAAGTAGATATCATGAATTAGTTTGTAAATGTTCGTTTAAAAAGTGGGGTTTACACATGAATGCTAATGACCAAGAAGTGGTGCTGAATAAATAGCCATGAACACCAACGCTAGTGTGTTTTCATTATTATAGAGTAGAAGTTCTTGTTCTTGTAGACATTTATGTTTGGATTCAATTAGATTTTTGTAATATTTTAACAATTACACTACGTGGTACAATGGGACTAAAGAAAAAAAATGTCTTTATACTACTTCCATAATCTATAGTGTATGATTGCAGAAAAAAAAATGTTTGTATTGCACATTTATGGAGCAAAATTGTTAATTATAGAAGTGGTTTAGTAAAAATCTCATTAATCTATAAGGTGGCGACATTTATATACATGCTTTAGCTAAAATAATTGTTTTTAATAACGTCCAAGTACTTAAAGTTTGCACTGTTTTCTGTTTATTTTGTTTGTTCGATAAATACACTTATTAAAATGTTAGTAAAAAAAAATGGTAAAAATACAGAAAATATTTTTTTTTAAAAGTTAAGATTTTGAAAGCATTGAAGATCCCATAATAATTTTATTTATATTTACAGTTGTAATAATAAATTATATGATATATTTTCAAATATAATGGTTTCATTGTAAAAAGGGTGATTATCTCTGAGGTGGACACCAAACTTAACTGATATTTCGGGCGGTTGTTTATTATCATGTTAATTATTGTGTCTTTCGCCTCGACAGCATATTCTTCCATTATAGAAAAAACTGTTGCTTTAATTACCTTGAGAAAAAAAAACAAGACCATTAATCATTAATTTTAGCGATTGTCGTTTGCTACAACATTTGAAATAACATCAGC